ATAAGAGTCCACTAAAATGCAAATGGAAATCCAGACGCGACGGACTCACAATGAGCGGCTCTCTGGTTTGCGAGTGATCCCTGAGGGACGACAAAAATTATATGTGCTGCCTTGCACGAGGGAATTATTCTCAAAGGCTGGGAGAAGAAAACTTCGAAATAAAACAAACAAATGCAATGAACAAAACACAAGGATTGAATACCCCTGGTGGTAATTTATTAATGCTGGAAAATCCACACTCTTAGGAGGCTGGTCTCATGGATTCTGGGGGAGACCACTTATTGCATAGTAGATCGGCGTTGATGGACCCATTTAGAAGGAGATCGGAGGTCATGCAATCACCCCCATTGGTGATTGCAGAGAAAAAAGACAGAGTTAAGGATGATAACTCTGAGAAAAAGTCTAATAAGTTTGAGGAAGACAAAAAAATGAAAATCCAAGAGAGTTATATGAAAAGGCATCTTATACAGAAGAGTAAATTAGATACTCAGGACTCGAGAATAACCGAGTTAGAGAGTCTTTATAAAGTGCTATAAAACGAGAACTGCAAATTACAGGCAGAGAATGTAGATTTAAAAAATCAAATAAAATCTGCATCAACAGAAAAGAAAAACAAAGATGCGGAAGTTATTGTATATGAAACCGACCGACGAGGAAGAATTGGCTAGAGAAACTGACTGGATCCTAAAATGCAAAGAAGCGAAAAATGGAAAAGTCTCCTGAAATAAATTCAGAGAGGACAGTTAAAAAAATAATGAAAGCAGCCCTAAATTGAAGGCTGAAAATCCAAAAAAGCACAAGCCTCCTCCGGTTATATTGAGCAACATTAAGAACTACTCCCACATAGTTAAGATATTAAAAGAAGAAAGAATATACGTTAGGGTCAATATGATGAATAATGACCAATTAAAAATAAATGTGGAAAATGAAAATGAGTACAGATTACTGACAAAAGTTATAAATAAGGCTAGACTGGAGTGGCACACGTATGAGAATAAAGTGACGAGACCAGTTAAAGTTATGGCTAGAAATCTCCAAAAAAATAAATAAATAAAAAAAGAGCTTATTAGCAAAGGCTTTAAATGTCTAGATGTTCTAGATTAAAATGGAAAATATATTTCAGTAAAACTTCCGCTCTTTATATGTTATCTTTTGACCATTTGTTATACTTACAGCACATGAGAGTAAAAATTGAAGCTCTTAGAAGCAGCAAATCCATTCCGCAATGCAAGAGATGCCAGAGTTTTGGACACACACAAAAGTTTTGCCAAAGAGAGGCTAGATGTGTAAAATGTGCTCGTAATCATATGACAGCAGAGTGCAACAAGAAGGATAATTTTCAGCCCAACCCAAGTAACAATTTTTATCTCATAAGACTCTTGTATAGCTATATAAAATTCCTATAGATTCTTAAAGAATTATTCTTAAAGAATTCTATATAGAATTCTTTAAGAATATTACTCTTATAATTTCAGTATTGTAGAACACTAAAAGATCCTAATTAAAACTCTCACATGCCATTTATAATAGTGTTACTAGAAAGAGAAAGCAATACATTGTAGAATAAATATATCGATATATTTATTATAATAACTTTATAAAAAATATATCTATTCCGCTTTTAATAATAATTTTTTTAACAAAAATGCAACAAAATATACATATGTTTACGCACATATGTGATATGTAATCAACAAATTTTTGTATTCAAAAATATTTATAAATATGGGAAATTAAAATAATTTTTTTTGCCATGATTATAAATCAAAAAGTTGCTGGCATTAAAATTTTGTTGATAAAAGTTGATATTGTACTTCGAAAAAAAGCAACGCCAACTGAAAATAATTAAAACTAAAAAATTTTTATGCATATTTTTTAACAATATAATATCTTATTTCCGTTTTTTTACATAAATTTTAAAATTTAAGAATTGTTAAGCAAAAAATAAATATACTAATGTGCATAAATTCCAACTAAAGCTTTATTATATTCAAATAAAACTATAATTTTGCATTTCATTAACCTTAATTTAATCATTTTTGTACAATAATTATTTTTTGCACTTCTTTCCAAAAAAAAGAATTCTTAGCCTCATTAGGGTTAAAATTAAGATAAGGAAAAATGACAATACTAAAATGACCGTGCCTAATAACTAGACTATGCGAGTAGCAGAATTTTTATTACTACAAGTGCTAAGTCTTATTATAAAAACCTATAAGAAGATGCATAAAAACAAAAAAAGAAAAAAAAATTATGAGAGTATTGGAGTGTGGTATAAGAGTTTTATGAGAGTCAAATAAAAAGAACTGACGCAGACATTATGCGAATGATGTATAGTATGTTGATTAAAATTGACGAGATCTCTAAAAGATTATTAAAAATAGAAAATGTGTACATTGAGGTGTATACGGGGACACCAAAGAAATTAAGAAAAGATGTACGTAAATGAGGTACGTATAGCAACTTGGAATGCTAATGGTGTTCTTAATAAGAAACAAGAATTGGAGGTCTTTCTCAAAACGAGAAATATAGATATTTGTTTGCTGTCGGAGGCTCATTTGGCATATTATACGGGCCTTAAAAGAAAAGGCTATGATTGCTATAAAGCGGTACATCCAAGCAATCAGCCAAGAGGAGGTAGTGTAATACTAATAAAAGAAACATAAAACATATTATAGAACATAATGAAGAATTCAAGATAGAAACGGCTGAAATTTAGCTTATTTCGATAAAAAATAAATCGACTAAACAGGACTTTAGTATTGGTACTTAATATACAATGAAGTGAACAGAACAATTAGATGTGGAGTTAGAAGGATTTACTAAAATCATACAAAAAGCTGCGTGGAACAATACAAAAAGGTCAAAGTACAAACCGACAGCAAATAGTTATCCTGGAGAAGAACTGATTTAATAGATGAAAAGAGAAGGGCCAGACGTAGATGGCAACGTTCGCGTCACCCTGATGATAAAACTGTTTTAAATAGACTTTCCCAAGTGCTTAAAAGAAAAATCCAAGAATTTAAATCGGCAACATACGAAAATTACATAAAGAACTTGTCAGCTACGAAGGAAACGAATTATTCCTTATGGAAGGCGGCAAAGAGCAAAAAGAGACCGATTAGGCACGCTCCACCACTGATGAAAGCAAATGGCAGTTGGACGAGGAGCAATATAGAGAAGGCCGAATTGTTTGCTGATCACTTGGAAAGCATATTCACGCCAAACGGAATAACCTCAGATGTAAGTTTGGTAGAATCTATCGCAAATGCAGCAGACAGAATAACTCCACTTAATCAATTAGAAATTGTGGAAGAGATGAGATCCCTGAAGTTGAAAAAATCGCCAGGTTTTGATCTTATTACTGTGGAAGTACTGACAGAGCTACCAGACGAGACATTGGAACATCTGACGAAAATCATGAATGCAGCTATGGATTTTGGGTATGTTCCTTGTTCTTGGAAAGTCGCGGAGGTAATTATGGTACCCAAACCCGGGAAATCCTTGAGGGAAACAAAATCTTACAGGCCCATTTCACTGTTACCAATGATGTCTAAGCTTTTTGAGAAGCTGCTATTAAAGAGATTGAAACCAATAATAGAAAATAGTGAGTTAATACCGAACCATCAATTTGGTTTTAGAAGAAACCATTCTACAATAGACCAGGTCCATAGAATTACGAATATTATAGAAAAAGCTTGGAAAATAAGGAAATCTGCCCTTCTATGTTTCCAGACGTAGCACAGGCATTCGACAAGATATAGCACAAAGGCCTTATGCTTAAGTTGGGGCAAATGTTACCATCGTCATTTGTAGAAACTTTGAAATCTTACTTAGCTGATAGATTATTTAGAATTAAACAAGATGCTGAATACTCCACGCTAAGAGAAATAAAGGCAGTAGTGCCTCAAGGCAGTATATTGGGCCCAACGTTATACCTGCTTTACACGAGTGATTTACCACAAATAGAAAATGCTACGATAGCCACTTTTTCTGACGATACTGCAGTATGGGCAGTAGGAGCGAACATTGACGATTCGACAAAAAAATTACAGGAAGCAAATAACAAAATAAGCCAGTGGACTAGAGATGAAGTTGTTGGGAAAATGAAGTTGTTATAAAATTAAAATTAAATTGTGGCGAAAATAATGCAAAATTTAGCATATAGTGTAGTTTGAGTTAGTCCTAGTAGTATAGTAGTAGTAGTAGTAAGAGAGGGGGGCTCCACCCTTAAACCCGCGCGAAGTCCATGCATAAGGCCAACAGAAAAGGCCCATCGCTAACTCCCAAAACCAACACCCAACAACCCCCATGCAATCCGACTCACCAGACCTCCTATCTAAACCAGCAAACCTCCCTGGTGAAGCCCAAAACCGGCGCGAGAGACACCCCAGATAGGTCCCCAGGCCATATCATAAAAATAAGCCCCCAAGACACGTTTTCCCTTCCACATTAAAAGCGAACTCGCACAGAGAACATGCTCCACATCCTCCATGTTCGCCACATCCCGACATCCACGACATACATCCGGTCCCAAGCCTTCTGTCCATTTTCCCCAAAAGGCAATGCCCCACCAGTGTGCTGAGATCAGCCCTACCATACCTCAACAGCATCCTCGTCCTCCTTTTGTCCCTGATAGGCCACATTGTTTTGGTCACCCTACGCGTATGAGCCTCCGCCCACAAGAGCCCATCCTCCTCCTACACTCACCATCACTCACCATCTTAGTCCTAAGTTTTAAATTAAAACAAAAATACCAGAATGGCTTTTTCCTAGTTTTCCTTCACAAATAAATTTAGCTGTAGTATTAGAAAATGAAATAAATAAAATAAATTAATGCTTCAATTGCACAGATTATGTTACATCTATATTTCTGAAAATAAATATATCAAATTGTAGAAACATTATATTGGACAAATAAATAAAACAAAATAAAAAATAAAATATTTAAACGAGCTTAAGCCTAATTTAGAATATCCAACATTTCTTTATTATTATAGAGTGGGAAAAAGATTATTTTGAATGCATAGAACGTAACGATAACAAAATAAATTGTACGGCAAAGGAAAAAAGTTTTGAAATAGATCTTGAAGAAGAAATTCCATGGCCGTTTTATCTAGTTAAATTGAAATATAATGGCGGTGAGCCAGATACAGGTAAACATATTATATTTTAAAAATTAAATCTTATTTAATTAATGTATACTTAAAACGTTTCTTTCGAATTAAGGCAAACACATACCAAGTATTAAAAGATTTATGACTGGAGATAATAATCTTTTGGGAGCTGAGTTTGAAAAAAAACAAGACGGTTGGTGAGTATACCTGCGTGAAACTTTTTATATAAATATGTATATAAACATATACACGTACGAGTACATTTTGTGAATAGTTATTTTGAAGTATCGCTAAAACCGTATAATAGTTTCTCTTTTGAGTGGCACTTTCAAAAATTAGTTATTTTAAAAACCTTTTATTTAAGCATATAAACGTGATATACAAGAATCGGGTTCAAAAATTTATTCTTGAAAATAGATTGCACCATTAGCGCAAATAATTTTAACTTACTGTAAATTTAATTTCTATGCGAGATATGTTAATAAGGTTAATAATTATTTAAATAGTTTTAGTCCTAAAAACAGGAGGCCAATAAAATCAATAGTAATTTAAATTATTTTTTTAAAGAAAAATCTGATTTGATCAGCACATTATCGACCGCAAAGTGTATAGTCTTATTTCAAAAATTCTGCGCAAGATCATGAAAATACCTTTTGAATACTTCCTTCCAGTTTTAAGGATGCTAGTAAGATTTTAGTTAACATACTTCAAAAAAATGTAAATTTGGCTTCCTTATGGCATCCAAATTCCTTAAAAAATTCGTTAATTAATTTCGGCGACAAACACAACTCAAATAATTTCAAAAAATTCTAGCAGTTTTATCCTTAGATATGGTAAAAAGTCTAAAATTGCCTCCTGATATTTCCAACTTTATAAGTTCATTGTTATAAATTTAATTATTAAATTTCAATAAAATCGGTTGATTATTTCCCTTAAAAAATGTAAATTATTCTATCAGACGAAGCTTATACATTACCTTCCAAGTTAAACTGTTGAATATCAAAATGGTTAAAAATGTAAAATCGGTCCGTTAAGAGGTACACTTCCCGTTTTTTGATACATCCAAAAGTTGGTTAATTTGTGACATAGCCAGAGTAATTTTTTATGCATATAAATTTTCAACAAAATCGGTTTGGCCGAACTTTAGATACACGTGTTTAAATATAGAACGACGAGCTGACATCTCTCTAAAAATAGTTTATTTGTGCTTTGTTACCATGCAGAAGTGCGTTTCCACCGAAAACTTGACATGCGAAATTAGGTGCCATAATATATGCGAAACTTGACATGCGAAATTAGGTGCGAAATTAGGTGCCATATTGGTAATTATTGATAAAGAAAAATTAAAAAGTTTAACATTTGTTTGATTTAAATTAGTTTAAATTATATAAAAATCCCTAGGAATTTTATTTTTTTTAAAATTTTCAATAATATGTATATATATAGTATAAGAAAATGTACTTTTTTATTTTTGCTATAGGTATATTAAAATTAATGAACGACAAGACTATGAAAATCCACCGCAGATATTATACACATTAGAGATTTATATTAAAGGTGAAGAAGGTCAAGAAACTCCGTCGCAATGGTTAACTATAAAATTAAAAAACATTTTTGACAATGATCCTGTCGTAAAATATGCTGATTCTGTTCCTTGTACGTGGGAGGTAAATTTCAAAATACCTATAATAAATTGTAGTGATATATATATGAAAATCTATACAACATACATCGATACATCACCGAATTTTCCATACCCTTTTTTTTTTAAATGAAATTAATTTATCATAATTTTTTTTTTCTACTAGGTGAAAAAATCTCGAAAGACGAAGAAAGACGGCTCTATCTGCCTTTTTCCTCCGACAGTGGGGGAGCGTGACTCCTACCCTAAAAAATCACCTAAATTCTGAACCGATAAAACTGGTCCTACAGACTATTACCTCCGTCCTAACTTGGCTTTTCCGTGCAGGAATTAAATACCTTCCATAAGGAAATTGGTATCGATTGGAATGCCCGTGCTACGTCTAGAAACATAGAAGAGCAGACTTTCTTATTTTCCAAGCTTTTTTCTATAATATTAGTTATTCAATGGACCTGGTCTATTGTAGAATGGTTTCTTCTAAAACCAAATTGATGGTTCGGTATTAGGCCCCTATTTTCTATTATTGGCTTCAATCTCCTTAATAGCAGCTTTTCAAAAAGCTTAGACATCATTGGTAACAGTGAAATGGGCCTGTAAGACTTTGTTTCCCTCAAGGATTTCCCGGGTTTGGGTACCATAATTACCTCCGCGACTTTCCAAGAACAAGGAACATACCCAAAATCCATAGCTGCATTCATGATTTTCGTCAGATGTTCCAATGTCTCGTCTGGTAGCTCTGTCAGTACTTCCACAGTAATAAGATCAAAACCTGGCGATTTTTTCAACTTCAGGGATCTTATTTCTTCCGCAACCTCTAATTGAGTAAGTGGAGCTATGCTGTCTGCTTCATTTGCGATAGATTCTACCAAACCCACATCTGAGGTTATTCCGTTTGGCGTGAATATGCTTTCCAAGTGATCAGCAAAAAATTCGGCCTTCTCTATATTGCTCCTCGTCCAACTGCCATTTGCTTTCATCGGTGACGCAGCGTGCCTAATCGGTCTCTTTTTGCTCTTTGCCGCCTTCCATAAGGAATAATTCGTTTCCTTCGTAGCTGACAAGTTCTTTATGTAATTTTCGTATGCTGCCGATTTAAATTCTTGGATTTTTCTTTTAAACACCTGGGAAAGTCTATTTAAAACAATTTTATCATCAGGATGACGCGAACGTTGCTATATACGTCTTTCCCTTCTCTTTTCACCTACTAAATCAGTTATTTCTCGAGGATAGCTATTTGCTGTCGGTTTGTACTTTGAGATTTTTGTATTGTTCCATGCAGCTCTTTGTATGATTTTAATAAATCCTTCTAACTCCACATTTAATTGTTCTCTTGATTGTATATTAATATTTACGTCAATATTGTTTATGATTTCTTATCTAATAATTTAATAAACTTTTCTAGGCATATCAATCAGATGTTGACACGAATTGTAAGATTCTGGTTCACGACAAAGATGGCCTTGCAAATAATGAGATCACAATGTTCGTTGAAGATACTGGTAAAAACGAAAGAGATCACTTTGGTTTTTCTAAAATACCACAATCAACTACTGAATATACAGTAGAATATTTTATTAGAATAAATAAAAAACTTGATTATGATGAAAATGCATGGTTTAATTTGCACATAATTGCTGAAGATGTTGAAAAAAATAGAGGTGATACTAATATGACTTTCTATGTTAAAAATGTACCGCATTCTCCACCACGTTGGGTAAAACCGTTGGTTATTGCAAGTTTTAAGGAAAAAGAAAAACAAGTTTGTATTTACATTTTATTATTTAATTTTTATTATTATTTATAATTAATTTGAAAACATTCTATACAATTTTTTATTTGTATTTTGTACTGTAAAAAAATATTAATATTCTAAAAATCAAATCTGAAAAAAAAAATTTGGATTTATAGTACGTATATATGATTAATAAGGTTCAGAACTTAAAAAAGGAATTACACGGGACAAATTACACAAAAAAAAAACTGCCTGCAGAATTATGTTTATTTTAAATGAAGTGTTTTTTTAAAATAGTCTCTGTATAGCTAAGCACATGTGTTGTCTACAAGACATATGTATTGTCTGCAGTGCAAACAATAATATTTATATATTATTCTTATATAAATTTGTATATGTAGATTCTTTTTATAATTTATTAGGAATTTAATGTAACAGCGATTGGTGGAGACATTGGTATCGAAGACGCAATATGCTATAAACTACGGTTCTCTGAGAATAATAATTGTAAGTAAATCAACTTTATTAAAATTTAAATGATGTTCTTAGGTTCAATATTAAAATAATATTTTAAATTAAATTAATATTTTTCTTGAAGATTCTGAATTAATTGAAATAAATGAGCTCAATGGAGCTTTAAAGGTGAAAGAAATCGACAGAGATGCTCGGCAACAAGAAATTTATAAATTTGAGGTGATTGAAAATAATACATGAATAATATAGAAAAACTGGGTCGAGTTTAACTTTTCAATAAAAATTTTATTGTTTTTGAAATGTAGATATGTGCTGAAAAGTGTGATGACTCATTTATGAATACTTGCAATTTGACAGTTTTCATTGTTGATGACATTAACGATCATTCACCTGTAATCAAAATCGAGCCGATAAAAATTGCACTATATGAAAACTATACACAAGAAATCAGTTTGAATAAATTTGATGTTTCTGACGTTGACTTGGTACATATATTTTAGGCATATAACTTTATTTATTTTTACCATTATTTGTAGGGTTGAAGTTGGTTTTTACTGCGTATCTATGTATGTATATAAAACGATAAAACCTAATTATAAAACCTGGTATATGAAACCTATCATGTACCTTACTTACACGTTATGGGTAAAACAAAATAATAACTTTTAAAAAGTTGTAAATGTACGTTGCGCCCAGTATAATATCACTGAAATATAATATTCTCAACGTTTTATTAACTACATAAAATATTCACAAGAACAATAATATTTTTAATTAATTTGTCTTAAAACCAGTAAAATTTGATGAGAAAACTTACAATTTTTATCACATTAATGTACCTACATATGTATGTATGTATTCACCTAAATTACACAAAATTTTTTAATTTCTTTTTATCATTATATTAATAAGTAATATACTTATTTAAATTATTAAAGTCTTAACATTGGAAGGTAATTGATTAAATTATATTTGCACAGTCAACAAAATAAAATTTAAAGTTCTTACAAATTAAAAATACTTCGTTGGTGTCGAATTCCTTTTTCCTAATGCTTGTACCTATTTTTCCCTCATGACCTCGTTCCTTGGCAAAGTAAATGCAGGTATAGCATTTACGTTCTCCTTTTCTCGTAGACTATTGTTTCTGCGTCCTTCAACGTTTTAATTAAAAAATTTAATTAATGTAAATTATAAATATTCATTTTATCTAATAACACAAACAAGTAATATAATTATTCAATAAATTTAAGTTAAAATTAAATTTTCAATAGCAAAAGAGTTATTTTACCGCTCAGCGATATAGCCTAAAAATTTATCCTACGTTATGTACACAAATGAAAAAATATAGGAATGCGTGTATCCATACTGTATTTGTAAATGTATCTATGCTAAATAAAAAATAGTTTTGAAAAAAATTTATCCTTGACTCTTCATGCATTGGATTAACGTATACATACATACATACTTAAATATTCTTATATAACAGAAGAATACTATTACTATTGTGAGTTGGTTTGCATTAAAATATTAGATAATTTTTATTTTACATGCATAAATTAAAATGCATGTTGTTGTTGCACTGAAAGCCCATATATTGATGAAAGGCTTGCAGAAATAGATCAAAAAACTATAACGCAATATAAAACTACAAATATATAAATATTATATTTTTTTAGGGTGAAAATGCAATGTACGATGTTAAATTGAGTAGTGCTGAAAAAGCTTTTAGTATTGTGCCTAGTTCTGGTTATCAAAATGCTTCATTTCAACTTATAATAAAAGATAAAGATTTTTTAGATTATGAAAACCCGCATTGGCGTTTTATTGAAATAAAGGTAATACTTTAGTGTGCTTTTCAATATAAATATTATTTTTAAATCAAAAAATTTTACTGTAATGTGTACGAAGGTATTTGCTCAGGAAAAGCACAATTTGTCTCATACAGGCGAATTTTCGCTAAATATTGATTTAATAAATTGGAATGATGAGCCACCAACATTTGAAGAACCCAATTATAGTGTTGAATTGGAAGAAACAATACCTAAGGGATATTTAATTAAAAATATAACTGCATTTGATAGAGACGTTGATGATTTTGTAAGGTAAAATTTTTATAATTATTAAAAATTATAAGACAAAATTTATAAATGAGCTTCACACAAAATGCATGAAAGCTAAGTAGCTTATTTTACATGAAAGTTGTATAATTATTATAAAATAATTTTTATTTAAAATTAAGATTTATTTATACATGTATTCTAACTTCGCTTTAAAACTTAGTGCAAATGTAAAAGATGATACGATTCTTAATTCTGCTCATAGCTGCCCTTTAAAATACATAATATTGAAATTCACACAAAATATTACATAGAATCATTTGCACATACATATGTATGTATGTATATAGGAATAAAATATATATTTCTTATCTCTTTTTAAACCGTAAGGTATAAAACGTTAGGAAATTTTTACGGTGTTCAAATTAATGAAGAAAATGGAACGATGTATACAACAGAAGATAATGTATTTGATTATGACAGGCAGAAGGCGGTTATTATACAAGTTCAAGCTACTGACAATTTAATTACTGGATTTCATGCTGAAAAATTGAATTCCGTTTTTACTCAATTGATAATTAATGTGAAAGATGTGAATAATAAAACACCAGAATTAAGAATGGTAATAAATTTTAAGAAGAATTTTTACACTAACTGTTTTTTGTTCATATTTTAATATAACATATAAATATAGCCTAGAATTGTTCCGAATTGTACAGAAAATACAACAGATATAAGTGCTATTACAACTGAAATTAAAGCAATTGATCCTGACACTGATGCAAATTTAGTTTTTGAAATTGATTGGGATCACACGTTTGCTACTAAAACAGGAAGGCCGGCTGATTTAGAAACATATAAAGAGTATAGACTACATATTATGTTAATTTTATTTTGCTTTTTTTCCTAAAAATTATTTTAATATAACTATTATTAACTGATAAATTATGCCCTTTTGTTCAAGTCTTAATTTATATACATTTTTTTAGATGTTTCGTTATAGAACAACATAACGAAACGAATAATGAAGTTTTAGGATATTTAAAGCTTAACCCAGAACAGACAACAATTGTTGATTATGAAGAGTATGATACAATGTATCTTTTTATTAAAGTGACTGACTTGAATCAGGTTGTAAATGAAGCATCTTCCAACGGTAAGAAATATGCATTACAAAAACTTTTTAAATTGAATATTAAATAATTAAGCTGTAATTAAAATTTTATAAATTATAGCTACTTTAACAATTATTATTAATGACATCAATGATTGTGCTCCAGAATTTATTCATAACACTTTGCAGGAGATAAGAATTGTAATGGAAGAAGCAATGCCAAACACACTTGCTGGTTAGTTTTACATACATATCTTTTGTAAAAAATTTATTAAATATCTAAATATAAATTACTTTTTTCTTTTATTCTTGCAAAGGTGGTTCAATACAAGCAGTTGATAGAGATGGTCATGAATTCAATAACATCACGTATACCCTTTTGTAAGCAAGAATATTAGGTCTACCTGGCATAAAATTTGAAAAAAAATGAGATTTTTTTTCTTTTTGCGAGAATTATGTTATTGTTTCTCGTTCTAAAGTTCTTTCAAGTCTATATAACAGACAGACCTTTTACTTAATAAAACTTAAAAAAACTTTAAGCATTGAGAAAACGATAAAGTTATCATTTTCTATCATTTTTCCTAAAAAAGTATTAAACATACCAGACTTTTTGCATACTATATAAAACTTTATAAAGTTTTTTTCAAATTTTATAAAGTTTTTAAAAAACTATCTTACCATAGACAGAGCTATCGGTTCAGCAAACTTTTTTGTTTCTTTTTTCAAAAATCGAAACATTACCCTATAAAACTTTGGCAAGGTTAATCAAGATTTCGTTTCAAACTATTGAAGCAAATAAAAATCAAATGAACAGTCTTATTGTACATATCTATATGTACAATAAGACTGTTCATTTGTACATATTTGAAATTTTTACAAACAAAAAAAAATTTGTATAATTGATTTTTTTGTTACATTGAATTAATATTTTAATCAATTACCTAAAGTATTTTTAGCATACATAATATATAATTAGTTACAAATGGTAAACAAAAAGATTGCGAATTACATGTATGTGCATATATACATATATCTATGTATATATGTATGTGTATGTTTAAATGTTATTTAACTTAAATAATCCAACGTTTTATCTTTAGACCTATACGTGGTACGAATGAAAGTTGGATTCAAATTGAAAAATACAAGGGAGTACTTAGCGTATCCGAAAATGCAAAAATAGATTGTGATATTCCACGCATTGATGCCCTATACTATGAAATTCAGTTGACTGATGGACTTTATACAACTTTAGGAGAAGTACCAATTTATAAATGTTAATGGAAGTTTTTTAAACATGTTTAATATTTTCTATTTTATTGCAGTTAATAATAAACGTAACTGATATAAATAATAAAGTACCACAATTTCATGATTTCAATAAAACAGTGGAAATTTACGAAAATGCTACAACAGGAACATATATTGGAACAATTGCTGGCTATGACAATGACAGAGATGGTAACACATGCATTTTTTATTTATAACTACACTATAATTATTTAAAATTTTTGAAAATTCGTGAAGTGCTTCCTTTTTTTTAAAAAAATATGAAGAATTTTTGACCCGAAATTTATATTCTTTTCAAATTAATCTTAATTTTTTTTTTGTTTTCCAATCTTATAAATATGTAAATAATGATAAATTTATTTCCATTATTACTTATTTTAATTTTTCAGAGCCACATAATGTACTTGAGTATACTATAAATTACAATATTCATAAAGAGTTACAGAAATTTTTTGTGGTTGGAAAACTAAATGGATCCATTTATGTGGACTTACAAAATGGATATGAACTAGATCGGGATAATAATGTAACGGAACATATGGTAAACGTTGATGTTAAGGACAATTATTTAGATTCAAAAAGTGAAAGTAATTTCTCATATTCAATAATTTAAATATGTGTGTATTTTAAATTAAAATATAACACATAATTTTAGCACGAAACTCTGAACCTAATGGTATATTAGTTGTTTTATTAGATGTCAATGATAATGCTCCAGAAATGGTGTCACCGAAAGACTTTCTACCGAAATGGGATGAAAATGCCATAAAGGTAATAATGTTATTTGTTTTACATGCAGGGTGCTCTGCAAATCATATTTATCATATTTATTGAATTGAATCCCTTAGTGCATTGAAAATTGCTATCTCGGTCCATGGTTTCAAACAAAAATTTTATCCATTTTTGATGCTCTAACAGAACGATGATATATAATATTGTACTCTTTACCAAATCACCCTGTACCTTTAACAAAATATTAGGTCTGTTTTTTCACTCGTTTTGCAATAAATTAAAAGAGACGGAAATTTTAAATTGAGAGAATGAAAACAAATATGTAACAATTATTTTTTTACGTAGTTAAAAGTTTACTATTTACAAATATTCTCCATGTAATAAGCAAGTATAGCGATTTTCATAAAAATTGTTATACCTGCTTATTATTTGCCAAAATAGATTTGACGAAACAGACAAGTAATAATAAAAAAACAAGATAGAAACAATAGAAAATAACGTCAAAAAGGTCTTGTAAATTTTCATATGTTATGTACTTACATAATGTATAATAATTAATTATTGACTAATGATTATAAATTTTTTATTTTCAGGGTGATGTTCTTTTAGAATACACATTAACAGCAACCGACAAAGATCAACCAAATCATCCTAATTCATGGGTTTCTTTTGAAATTTTGGATATAAATCCTGGTACTAATTTTGTGGTAAAATATGTATATGTGTGTATGTACATTGCAATATATGTATATAACATAACAACGAGTTGAGTCTATGGTTCAATGTACACTTTAAATTGTAATAACAGGGTGACAATGCATCTCGTACCTTAAATAGTTGGATCTTATGTGCTTCCCGACTGTATGATTCGAATAACCTTCATTCGACGAATAGGCTCGCTAAAAGGTTCCTGCTCTAGAAAGGGTGCGAATCTTCTATTCCAACGTGCTTTACCACCCACTGCAAAGTTACGCGGTTGGTCCTCTACAACTCATTTCGTCTTTCAAGGCAATCTCGCACAGCGCATTAATGACCGCCCGGTTGACCAATGGATAACCTACACTTAGTCCCAATAATTATTCCGAAATATACCACAATTTTAGTGCCATATCACTACTTATGCTTTCTTTCAAAACCCATTAATTTTAACCTTAAAACATAAGAACAACAGAATTCACCAACTTTTCAAGAGATTATCACATTACTAAGCGGAACTAAGTGTACCGGTTAGATACCGCGATTACAGTTTCCGCCGACATAGCTTTCGAGTTCCTTGGTACTAATCAGCCGCCTCATCAAGGTGGAGCGCCGGTCGAGGCGGTACGATGTACATACTTTTGGTAATTCTCGTTATTCAATTGAAGTTTTTAAAAATTTTAAATAAATGTGTTCAAAGTTTGTATACACTTCTTCAGAATCAATATAGATTCAACATATAAGCCCCTTGTAAATTTTAGAATTGTTACAAACCATAAAAATTTAACATGAATTAAAATAAGAGTGTTTTCGTAGGAAAAGAATGTAATCCAAATGTAGAGGATTATAAAAACCTTTTTACTATGATTGGGAATTTCACTGAGAGAACGGGACAATTCGTTGCTAATAAAGATCTCCAGGGATATTATGGCATTTGGAAAATTTTCATTAGGGCTTATGATCATGGTGAACCGCAACAATCATCAAATGGAACCTACGAATTAGAGGTATTCCCCGTAAATTTTCATTCTCCAAAAATTTTATTCCCTACTGAACAAGCAATTAGATTGAGGTAAATTTTGCGTTGTTTTCAAAAAGAAATTTATTTTTATTCAAATTAATACATTTGAATAGGCACGATCAACCATCGCTTGATGGGCCACTTAAAAATACAGATAAGACAAGTTTAAGATCGTTCGAAGCATTCGACCCTGATGGTGGAAATTACGGAAACGTTACTTTTGAAATTTTTACGGAAACAGAAATTTTTGCAGTGAAGTACATAAACAGAAGTCACTCAGATCTAATATTAAAAAAAAAAGTTGAAGTTGATTTATACATGGTAATTTTTTGTTTTCATTATTTTAAAAAAAATTTATTTTTGCAGTATATACATATGTATGTACATAAATATGTTTATTTGTACGTACTTATGTACAGACCTATCCTAGAAGCAGCTTTAACCCAGTATCGCGAAAAGTGCGTAAATAAAATTCTTGTTTTATAATAGACTCCGACATCGGAAAATTCGAAACGATTTTCGGATAGTACTCACATATATACATACATATATATATGCATGTGCCCATGCAAGCTACAACCTCTAAAAATTTTAAAACTTTTTATTAAAATTAAAATTTTTTAGATAAATATTAAAGCGAAAGACGGCGGTGGTTTGACATCAGATAGTCAGCATTTAAGGATTTTTGTTATTGATATGAACGGTAGTCCTTACTTTGATCCAGCGTATAATGAAGAAACTCCATTTAATACTAACTTCACTGGTATGTATAAGTACGTTATGTTTTTTTATATGTACTTTAATTCTAATTATTTATTTCATTTTTCGCGAATCTAATTTCATTATAGAAGGCGAAAAAGGACTGTTAAAGGAATACAGAATTATTCCAGAGGCTATAGATCCCAAAAACAATGGAATAGAAAAAGAAGAGGATAAGATTAAAATTTATTACTATTTAGACAGTACGAAATTGTAAAAATCATTAAATCGGTTAATCATATTTCTTTAACATTGTTTTTTAGAAAATTATGAGCCAAAAGTAGTTGAATTTTTTCATTTAGATCAAGCGAAAAGAAATTTAACCCTGGTTAAACCATTAGATAAAACAATGGGTAAAGAATTGCGTATCAGGATAATCGCATCAAATATCAAAGAAGAATACGAAGCAACATCTACAAAAAATTCTCAATTAATAATTAAAGTGAAGGTAAACAATAAGTTTCCGCAGCAAAAAATTTAAATTATTTTTAAATGAGTACCTATTACTTTGTGCAATTATAGGTTAAAGATGCTAACCCAAAGCCGGTTTTCGATGAACTTACTAAAAAATATGGCTGTAGTATAACTATACATGATGAAAATAAAATTATACTGCATGTGCATGTAAGTAAAAAACGTTCATACATACATATATTACATACACACCTTAGGTATATACATATATATTTACCTAAGTACTTACCTTAGTAGTTACTTATGTATTAAGCTTTTGAATCAATATAATTAATGTACATTATATACATATGTGTGTTCACTCGCGAAATGTGAAACGTAAGGTTCCATATGTACACTGCACGCCCCCTATTTCAAGGGACAGTCACTCTTTCTCCTCATAAAAGTCACTTACTACGGCTCATCCCTTAAAATGTCTCTTATCTAGCCACATTCATAAAATGTATATTTTTATCATAATATAAATGCAATAATTTCATGCATGTAAGTACAAATGTAAATATGTACATATGCTTTTACAATAAATTATATTTACTAATTTTTAACTCTAATGTGCAAAATATTCTAAGTTTTATGTTTTTCATTCCTAACGTATAGGTTATATCCCAATAGGACATCCGCAAAATGTTAGGAGAGCTAAAATAAATTAACAAACTCATGATTTTGCATATCTACATACATATGTATGTATGTATATGGCTATATATACATATGTATAAACTTGCACACCCTTCTAGCTACGATACATCGGTCTGAAAAGTTTTTTAATTGGAGAAATATTTATTTAAGCGCAAAATAAAACAAATGTTTCAAATTTTTCTCTATAACTTTTCTTGCAAAAGGCTCAAAACATATCAATAAGACGACATTGACTTCAGATTTTTCGAAGTGCAATATATGTATGTATACATATGTATAATACCAAAAAAAAAGGATAAAAAAATGTCCCTCTTTGAAGTAAAAAATATCTGATTACAACTTTAGCCATAATCGTTAATAACTTTAAATATAGTGTAAAGAGGGCTTTTGTACAAATTTTACATAACCACATGCAGTCATACATATGTACATACATACATAGGTATGTATGAATATACACGCATCGAAAATTCCGATTAATAATTTAAAAGCAGGAGTATGTCAATTTCGGTTCTGCTTTTGAAAAAAAAAAATATTCGTTAGTTATTATGTATTTATTTATGTATGTATGTGCATATGCTATATAATATCTATTTACATACATTTATATATATGAATATTATGTATGTCCATTGACAATTTGAAATTATTATTCTAGGCGAATGACTCTGATATTGAAAATTCTATTACTACTTATCATATCAGTAGTGAAATTAAAGCGTATGGTAAAAATATTGAGAAAATAAAGGACAAAATTTTTAAACTTGATCCGGATTCAGGAAAACTTAGTTGTCTTTATAAAATTGATTCCACTATGACAGGGTTTTTTGAATTTAATATTACAGCGGAAGATAACTATCAAAACAAAGACCAAGCTAATGTCAAGGTATACATACTTGGAGAATCAAATAGGGTTTCCTTAATATTTTTAAATAAATTTTCTTTAATTGAAGAGAACAAATCGATTGTAAGTAAAAACTAAATATAACTGCATATTGGATTAAATTACAAAATTTATTAATCCTCATTTCAGCTGCAAAATGTTTTAAACGAACAATATGGATATGATAAATGCAACATTGATGATGTTTCAAATCTTGCTGATTCTTCCGATTTTGTTAAAGTTGTTGTTCATTTCATTAGGGATAATAAACCAATTGACAACAGTGAAATATTGCAGTAATATTAATTTGTGTATAATTTTTGTATTATTGCTAGTATTAAAAAATTATCTTTTGTAGGAAAACAAATCAAGAATTGATAGCTAAATTAAAAGTAAATTTTAAAAGTAGGGGCTTGCACTTAGATCGAATAGAGAATTCAAAAAATACGCAAATAGAAAAGGTTGAAACAACAAGTTCAACAACTTTAACTATTATTGCAATTATATTGGGTGTTTTATGTGGTTTACTGGTGATCGCGTTTGTTCTTAAAACAAAATCTTTAAAACGTCAAATAAAAGCGTTTGCTCCTCCCGAATTTGGTTCAAGAGCTTCTGATCTAAACAGAATTGGTGTACCAACAACAAATGTTTTTTCAGTTGAGGGGTCAAATCCCGTTATTAATGATAGTAATATAAAAGAACATTTTGATGATGCGTCAAGGTACTTTTTGAATTATACTTTGTAAAACCAATTAGCTTCATTTTTTGCAGCGTTGACTCGGATGGTTCCGATTTTATTGGAATTAATAATGATGTGAACTTTATGATGAAAAATGGAAGCGCGGTAAGACAAAATTTTTTTTTTAAATTATATACATATAATTTTCACATACACGTATATAAAGCATGTTAATATTTAATTTATATTTAAATATTTTATCAGTCTATAAAACTTCATTTTAATATTAATTATAGAGCAGTAAAAATTCTTCAGTCATATCAAAATACGAAAATAATAAGGAAAATATCATTAAAAGGATCAGTCTTGATAATAACGAAGAGAAAGTTATGCGGTTTTAAGATTACATATTTTTTTAAATCAAAACAAATACAAAGTTATATATGAATGAAAATATATTGACAAAAAAAATTTAAAAACAAAGCTAAATATATGTATGTATGTATTTTAATAGATTTCATATAATTTAATTATAAAACTAAAATTGCATTATTAAGTACCAAAACTTGATCAATTTGATTTAACTAAAGATTTTTTGTTGTAATTGATCATTGGCAAGTAAACAAGTAGTACCTCTTTTGTTTTACGGAAATTTCATTTCATCCTAAAGTTTTTCTTTATTTTTTTTTATAAAATAGAATACAAATTAATCCACTTGAACAAAAAAGAATATACATAAAAACATTTTCTTGTGTGTTTATTTTAATTTTGGTTTATAAATAAACATTAGATTTTATAGACCAGCTAACATTATTCTAGGATCCTCTACGGCTTCTTTGATTTTTCGTAAGAATGTTACAGCCTCGCGACCATCAATTAAGCGGTGATCGTAAGTCAAAGCAACATACATCATTGGGCGAATCACAACCTAAATAAAGATTTGAATTTAGCAAAAAGGTACCTAGGTAAAACGAATATTACAAATTAGATTTCAAATGTACCTGTCCTTTCACCGCGATCGGTCTTTCAAAAATTCCATGCATTCCTAATATTGCGCTTTGTGGAGGGTTGATAATAGGGGTGCCTAATAACGAGCCAAACACACCGCCATTGCTAATCGTGAATGTTCCTCCATCCATGTCTTCAACAGCAATAGCACCTTTCCTAGCTTTTTCAGCAATAGCTGCCATAGCTATTTCTATATCGGCATAATTCATGCCTTCAACATTTCTCAAAACTGGAACTACCAAACCTTTAGGAGTTGCAACAGCTACAGAAATATCAACATAATCTCGATAAACAATATCCTTAAAATAAAACGACTTTCAAAAGAAATTCAGATTAGGATAGTACAAATTTTACGTTTCCATCAATAACGGCATTTACTACAGGTTGATCTTGAAGAGCATAAGCGGAAGCTTTTGTAAATATAGACATAAAACCTATTTTAATACCGTATTTTTTAACAAAAGCATCTAATTTAGATTTTCTAAATTCCATTGCAGCGCTGAAAATAGCCGTATATATAGTTTCCAATTTTGATGTTTAATATTTTGTTATACCTCATATCAATTTCGTTAAATGTTGTTAACATAGCATTCACATTTTGTGCTTCTTTTAAACGGGCTCCTACTTTCAACCTCATACGGCTCATCTTAACACGTTGCTCAGTTCGCGTACCAGTAATTTCTTTTGAATAATCTGATGGAGGCAACTAAAAGATAAACTATTTAGTTTTTTTTAGCAAGTGAAAAATTTTTGTTACGAACTTTAACTTGTGGTTCAGCTCCAACTGGACGAGCAGCAGTAGTTGGTATTTTAGCCGAAGGTGCAGCAGGTTTTGGTGGTGGCGGCATAGCAGCCGGTGGTGGTGGTGTGGGTGGTGATGGTGTTGCAACTTTTGGTGGAGATGGTGGTTTAGAAGCCGGTGACGGAGTTGGAGGTGGTGGTGGTGGTGGCGGAGTAGTAGTTGCTGGTTTTGCTGCAGGTGCGTGTGCAGCTCCGCCTTCTGCCTTTTTCAATTTAAACAATGCCTGACCAGCCTTAACGGTATCCCCATCTTTCACTAATATTTCTTCTATTACACCTCCAAATGGTGCTGGCACACCAACAGTTGTTTTATCCGTTTCGATTTCCATAACAACGTCGTCTGTCTTAACGTAGTCTCCTACTTTACACGTAAACCTTAAATATTAATTATAAACACAATTTATAATCATATGAAAATATTGTAAGAATCCATTGCTTACTTGACATCGCCTTCTGATACTGAATCAGCAAAAGGGGGTACATTAACTGTTTCTGTTTGGTATAATTTGAAAGTCGTGTGTAATCCTCTTTCAATATTTAGAATGTGATTTGTGTTACTAAAATCAAACAAGTTGAGTTTTAATTTAATTTTATTGATTTTGATTACATACCACCTCAAAAAAACGTCGCTGCATGATGAAGAATAAGCTTGAACACAGTTTATTAAATATTTCTGGTTCCTTTGCAGAGGAATCAATTTACTCTGTTGATTTATAAAATAAAAGGTATGATTTTATGAAAATTGGGTAGTTTCTGAGGAGGATATTTCATGTTACATTACATAACATGTTTTTAACTTTTCTTAAATAATCAAAAACTACCTCTAATAAATCTGAAGTAAGAGCTCCAAGTTTTAAAAAATTTTTTGGTTGAAGACGCCTCGATGAAAGGAATATTATTCCCGACATTTTATTTTAAATTTAAAGAATATTTTTCCCAGATTTTCTTAAAAAATTTTTATTATTCAATCACCGCAACTCCACAATTTGTCACTGTCAGAATGCCAACCCTACCTTGATTCCTGGCAAGAATATAGATATGCAAAATGACAACATAAATTTTTGCCATCAATAAGTCAAATTAAAAACAATTTTTAAAATCAACTGATTAACAAACTTTCAAAATGGATTGTTTGTGATTTCAAATTTTGTTTCGCACAGAGTTGTGATAAACATCATTGGATTTTGTCGTTTGTTGGCATTATTGTGCGTGATAGTAATTGGTTATTCTTGAATTTATTTGAATTTGGAACTAAATTACAACAGCGAAAAAAATTCAAAATCAGAAATGTATACGATTTTCTGCATAAAGCGGTTTGGCACCTTCAATCAAAAATTGCAATTATGTGCATGTTTTTGTTGGGTTCTTCGACGATTGAGATAATGTCATAAAATAAACTTATCTAGAGGTCCTTAATTCGTGTGGAGTATTAAAATGGTTGCAAGGACGGCATGCAAAAATTGCATTACGCGGCAGTATACATTTATTGTTACAAAAATATATGATAGACGTTTATAAAACGCCAAAACCATTTATTAAATATTGATTTTTTAATTTCAAAGCTGTACGCTTATATTGGAAATTCGAATCTAGTACGATTTTCGGCATTAATTTCAATATTGTTCATTTAAATTCCTTGAAACGATTACCTTTTTTATTACCTTTTAAGGGTAATTCAAAACCATTTTATTGTCATATAAACGTTACTTTACTTGAAGCTTTGCTCAAGTTAATCAAAAAATGTTACTTATTTGATTTGAAATGTTAGTAATAACATGAAATGTAATAAAGAACATAAAAAAAAAATTTGAATTTTATTACATATTTTTAAAGTTTTTAAGTTTCTAAAAACTTTCTTATACCAGACAAACGTATTAATATTTCAAATCGATTTAAGTTTGACAGCTGACAAGCATTATAATATCAGACGTCCATTGCTTAGATCAAGCATTAAGCATATCGCCAAAAGCCGCAGATAAGAACGTAATTTATTCGCAACTAAGCAACTATCAGTTACCAAGCAACAGGGTCATCATTTATAAGAAAGGAAGGGGAAAAGAGCGGAATATCTAGGTTAAAAAAGGGAACAGAAAAAAGGCAAGTAAAATAAAATGACGAGTGCAACTTAAAAATAATAATAACAACAAAAAACATAAATACTAATAACATACCGACCAACAGGCAAGAAAAGAGAGAAAAAAGTAAAACAAAATAAATAATTTATATAAATAAAGACGAGAAAGAAAAAGAAGAAAAAACAAAAATATTACTACAAATTTAAGTTACACAAAAGTCTAGATTTAGTAGCACCCTTACTAGTGGCAGCATCAAATACCAAAGAATTAGAAATAACAGAACGCAACATTCTAGTTACCGGCTCATTCCTGCCATAATCAGTAGAGCGATAGAGAACATTGTACAATTCAACAGATCTAAGATTCCTTACGTTATCCCTAATAGACATCTGTCCCAACAAAGAAGGAGCCACAACGGCTCCCGAAACGAGCTGATTGATAAATACTTTGTCAGCGACAATCCTACGAGGCCTAAAGGACTGCAAATCGTTCAACAGTTGATCAATTATATATCAATTTGTTATTTTCAATCTTTCAAACCATGTATATGTAGTCGATTTTTAAGTCAAACTAACAACTTTCTTGGGTCGACTTGACTTAAAAATTTTAAGTCAAATATCGTTCATATGAGCTCGAAGATGGCTTCAAGCTGCATATAAACGCAACTTGAATTTTTCAAGATTAATGAATATATCAAGATTATTTAAAATCGTGTACTCAAATTGGCATATAAACGAGGTAAATATTTTTCTTTCAAAGCGAATAACGCGTCTACTCAAATTCAGCACTTATCCGTGCACTTTAGTTTTTTCTTGAATGCATTACAGAACGTTAATGAAAGGATTTTATGTGAAATCAGTGAAAAAAGTGAATGGACTTCCGTTGAAAAAAATTTTCTCGAATACGTGCTGCATTTTGTCTTTCATTGTTTGTTATGCGAAACTTTGTATTATTTTATATTATGCATACACATACATACTTTAAGTTTTGTTTGCTTTTCTTTAAAAACCCATGACTAAAAAAACTTCCTGATATTACGATCTGCGTTAAAATTTATGTGATGGATAGTCTTGAATTTGAAAAATTCAACGTCATAATTTGTACTGTAAACTCACCTTAATGTTTTGTTTTGACAAATATATGTTAGGTTTTGTACCAGTTTTTGGATTTAACTTTGTTTTTTTGCTATTATCATTACAATTCGCATGGTATTTACTGGTGCAATAATTTTATTTAAAACCTGATTAAAATTATTCATTTTAAATGTTTCTTTTTATATTTTCATTTTTTTACAATTGTAGTAAATCAAGGATATCTTATAATTACAAAATAATTAATTGTGTAATTAAGCAAAACTCTTATGTAATTTGAGGCAAAAATTCAGTAAGGAATAATTATATAAATTATCAATTTTGTACATGTATAAATTAACAAACTTTTAATAACCCTTAAAAATGAAAAGGTTGTAATTAATCGAGAAAGCTATCGCAAAAAGGAAATGCCCACTAATTACCAAAGATATATTAAAATATTAGAAAAGTGGCCCATTGATAAAACCAAGCCTGGAAGGTTGAAAAATATTGTTTTCTTCATTAAATTTAGTTTTTAAAAATTCGATATTTTTAGGGACCTCGCAGAAAGAATTCGACAACATTTACAAATACTTGCTGATCCGACAGTAGTTCCAAAAGAATCATTAAGTTTTTATAAGAACCAGTTGGATTCGCTTGAAAGGTTGTCAAAGAATACTTACGGTAACAAATACAAAAGAATTTACAATTCATCGGCTACCGGCTTAGATGCCTCACAGTGTAAACAAGTTTTGTCATCCGATTTTCTTAAACTTATGAACGAAGAAAAAGGAATATTTTCGAAATAAAATGTTTAATAAGACGATTAGCAATTATTCAAACCTCTTATTTAAATTAAATTATTGCAATGCTGTTCAGAAATCCTTGCAAATATTGGAAAAAACTTCATTGATTCCGCATGTCCCAGTTTTATTTCAAACAGTTACACAATACTTACTTCCAGGCCCAAATAAGACGATAATTGACATGACATTTGGTGCTGGCGGTCATAGTAAAGAAATTTTGAAGCGGTTTGAAAATGTTAAAATTTATGCACTTGATTGTGATCCGATTTCTTACAATTATGCAAAAACTCTTCAAAAGGAGCATCCTGGTCAAGTAATTCCTCTTCTTGGAAAATTTTCAGATTTGCCATTAATACTTAAATCAATGGGGGAAGAAAATATATTAGTTGATGGTATTTTATTTGATTTTGGTTGTTCTTCAATGCAATTCGATAAAGCTGAAAGAGGATTTTCAATATCTAAAAATGGGCCGCTAGATATGCGAATGAATAATGTTGATCCAAATCAGTTAACAGCCGGTGAAATTCTATCAAAAATTGACGAAGTTGATTTAATTAAGATACTAAAAATATATGGTGAAGAGAAACAGGCAAAGAAAATTGCACGAAGCATTGTTAGTGCTCGTTCGTTGTTTAAAATAAACACAACCAAACAATTGGCTGACTTGGTAGAAAGTTGTTTTAACGACAATTGTAATCGAGTAGACAAATTGTTGAGACCAGCTCATTCGGCAACAAAAACTTTTCAAGCTCTTAGAATATTTGTTAACAACGAATTGAATGAAATTAATTTTGGTATCAAATTAGCTTACAAATTATTAAAGTTAAACGGCAGATTGGTTACACTAACTTTTCATTCTTTAGAAGACACTATAGTCAAACGTCACTTGCAGAGTTCGATTTTGCAAAACAAAAAATATAAAATTGATGCACTAAAATATTCCAGTCATGATTTTTTTTATGATAATGAGATTTTAGAACATATTTTAAAAAGAAAATGGAAACAACTTCATAAGCATGTAATTAAACCCAATGAGGATGAAATAAATTGGAATCCAAGAAGTAGATCTGCTAAATTGCGAGCTTCGGAAAAAGTCTTTTGAAATTATCAATTAAAGGTAATGAAGAAACTTAAATTCCATCTGAGTACAAATTCCACATGAAATTGCTCTAAAATAAAATTTATAAAAGCTATGAAATCTAGTTCCAATTTCTATTACAATGTCTTTTTAAGGCCAATAGATGTATTTGTTTGTGTAACACAAAAATGATTGCCTTGCATAGATTATATAATAAACGTATAAGAATATATAATAAACATTTTTCATTCGGTACGAATATATAGCAATGTATGTACATACATAGATATATTTCATATGCGCTGCTTCACAAATCTGTACATAATTTAACTTTTGCCCTTTATATGATAACAGATTTGTAAAATTATTTTGAATGTTGGCTGCTTTACTTTAACTAAAATTTCTAGTATCAATTTGCATTTCGAAAAGACGGGTTCTTTGGATTAACTAGAAATCTTAAATAAACAAGATGCCAGTTGGAAATTTAATTTCGGGAAGTGAAAAAGCAAAGTGAGTTTATTATAAACTAGTTTCCTTATTTTAATTTGTATAAGTTCTTATTAATACAGAGCATAATAATAAAACTTTTGACACATAGTATATTTATTTATTTAGTCAATTTCACTTAAACGTACTATTTCATTAAATTCTTCTTCAGATATAGAAGAAATCGAGAGACGTGGTTGCTTTATTATTGTCATGTTCGTCAAATGTGAGTTTACTTTAATATCTCGTAGGTTGACTTTTTTATTGAAAATTTTATAAAACTCGAAATCTACCAAGCCAAATTTCGGGTCATCGTCGTAATAGTATTCCTTAAAAACTTTAACGATACCAACAACAGCTCTCTCTTTACCTGTATGATAAAACAATGCTTGATCCCCTACCTTCATGGTTTTCATGTATTTCTGAGCTTGATAGTTTTTAACACCATCCCACTTTCCAATTTGTTCTTCTTTCATTTTATTAATGGAATATTCTTCAGGCTCACTTTTTACCATCCAAAAGGCCATTTTTTTTATTCATTAATACTGCTTTACAAAATAAAAAATACGAATTTATCAAATCAATACAAAAATTTATTTTGTTTCCGTTTCTAACAAAAAAAACCGCATTTTCTAAAACAGTAATGCTGTTTTATACATATCGTAAAATTGGAGATAAATTGAATATTGCGTCACCCAGAAAATTAGCGTTTTTTAAAAATTAAAAGTTAGAATTTGAAATTTCCCGAACTTAAAGTTATATGATTCTAAAATCAGAACAGATTACAAATATTGTAGATATTTATGCGAAATCCATTACTCTGAGCTTTTCAAATCTTATTTAATAATGCGTCTGCCTTACACAGGCACGGAGTTATACTTTCTCTATAGAGTTGAATTTCAAAAAGAACTGCGAGAATAGACTTTAAGCCACTGTTGAGTTGTCAAAATCGTCTCCATACAAAAGTTTTGTCTACTCATGAGAGGCTATACAATGCAAAACTAAAATTTCAATATGTCAAGTTTGGCATTAAAAATATTAATATCCCAACACTGGTCCGAATCAAACGAATCCTTTCATATTCTGTTTCTGTCGTACGGTAATCAAACCAACGTCACTCAATCATAATGTCAATAGTAGTGCTCCTGTTGTAGGATATAATACTTAATGCCTAGTGGCAGATATGCGAGGCTCAGGAGTAAAAGAAAAATTATTGTTTATAACATAAAACTATCCCTTAAAACTGTAGGTTATCAATTTCTCTTTTAGTTACATTATTTTGGTTTATATACCTCTCTTCCTCTTCTAAATTCATATAAATTAAGTGTATTAAGTACATTGTAAAGGTTCTACAAGTGTATGAAAACCAGCATGACTGAAATTTTATTATTATAATAGAAAATTCAAGCAATATAAAATTTTATTCGTAATCTACAAATGAAATATTTCGGTTCAGTACAAATTGACTACCATAGTTGCGTTGAAACTGTTACAATTCTAAAAACAAAATGGCCACAATTAGTTTTTTGTGAGAGTTAGGAACAGCAATCAGGTGATTTCTTATGGTTACAATTTTTGTACAAAATTATTAAGTTTTGACGTAAAATCTGAGCCATATCAGAAAATTTCAGTCTAATATAAAAACAGTCATCATACTCTGTTGTAAATTTAATCTTAGATTTTAAATATATAAATAGTACCATAAATTTTGCCGTACATGTAATAGTACAGCAAATTAAAAAATCTTTCAATAAGTACTCGTTATCCAACTATACTACGCTACAGTATATTACACTTTATTTATCGTAGTGGAAATGTGAAACAAATTTGAATATTGAAATTGTGAATAATTTGGTTTAAATATTATTTTAATCTAAAATTAAAATTTATTTTCATTTTCATAAAATTAAACTCTATTTTAGTTTTTGAAAAATTATATTTCGATCAGCTTTGACTTTGTCGAAATTTTGGTAACTAAAATACATAATATAAATTTGCTCCTACTCTTATATAAATTTTTTGAGCCCCATCCTTTATAAAACTTAAGAAGGAATATAAAAATTCGAGAACTTTTCAAGTTATTAAAAAATAAGAATTAAGATTGAGCAAATAAGTAAATAAAATTTAAAAAACCTTTGAGTATGATTTAAGCCGCTTTGATTTTTAACTCTGAATATTATACATAATATGTATATATACATAAATTATATGTGGATCTACTACACTACTCGTATGTACACAGTACCTACATTACACTTAAGTATTTTGCGGTTTAAGCGAAGTTTTATTAGAGAGGCATGTACATACATACATACATGTTGATATTAGTTTTTATTTTATTCATTAGCAAAACAGGTTAAAGTCAGATTGAAATGGAAAAGTGTGTTAAGAAAACTGAAGTTTAATGATTTTAAATATAATTTTAACATATAAAATTCTATAAAACGTTCTTGCTAAATGATGATAATTTTTTTTATTAGAAAAATTCAGGAAGAATTGCAGAAAGATGTCGAAAATATTACAAAAAAACTACCTTTTTTTCGACCAGGGCTAACTATTGTTCAAGTTGGTGATAGAGAAGACTCAAATGTCTATATAAGAATGAAATTGAAAGCAGCCAGAGAAATAGGTTAGAAAAAAGATTTTAAACTGATTGAATAAATTATACAAATCAATTAATTTCAAAGGAATAGAAGCAGTATTGTTGAAGTTACCTCGTGATATTGCTGAAATAGGATTATTGGCAAAGGTAAATTTACATAAATTTCTTTAGATTACCATCAACTTCGTTGGCATTTCAATTTTAAATAATTGTTTTAATTTTTTCTGAAAATTTGTGTTTAAAATTTTTGTTTGAAAATTTATATTATTTAACTAACTACTTATGCATAACACATTATTACGTATGCATGTATATTACATGATATGTAATGAGTAATTGTGCATATCAATACATACTTATGTTCATGCATATAAAAAAATAACAATATTATGTACGTACAGCAATTTATATAAAGTTTGTGTTTATACACAGGCATCTTGATCTTATATATATTATAGGAGTTTATGTTTTATAGCATAATCGTTTCTAGAGTTTTGTGCGTAAGTATCATATAAATATCATTATCATTTGTGTGTATATTTTTTAATTTATTTTCCATCAAAAAACAGGAAAAAAGTTTCAATTCTTATTTTTCTCTTTGCCAAAATAACAAGCGCTTTACAATTTAAAAAATCTGATGAGATTAACACATAACCGACCGTAATGGTATGGACTAGTTTAGTGAAAGTGTTACAGAAAATCAAGAAAATGCCCTTTGAACTCTTTCTTTCAGTTTTAAGAAAATTAGCAAGCTGTTAATTAACATACCTAGAAAAGTGTAAATTTATATCTTAGTGAAATTTCACTTTGTGCCACCCGAATTTCCTGAAAAGTTTATTAGTTAGTTTCGGTAACCAGAAATCAAATATCAAAGTTTAAGAAATTCCATTAATCCGTTCCGTAGATATGGTAAAAAATGTAAAATCGATCTCCAGTTCAGTTTCCGAGCGTTGATCTTTTCAAAAAATTTATAGATTCATTATTTTAACACCTCAATTTAGATAATAAATTTCAAAGAAATTGGTTGATAATTGCTCTTTATATGCGTAAAAATGTAAAATCGGCCCGCAAAGAAGTATAGTTTCCAATGTCTGATATATCCCAAAAGCTGATCCTTGCCATAGCCAACATAAACTCACATATTAAATTTCATTAAAATCAGTACAACCGAACTCGAGATACACGTGTGCACACACAAATCGACGTTTCTCTTGAAATAGTTTATTTGCGTTTCCCTATATGGAGAAGTGCGTTTCCACCGAAAACTCGACATCCAAAATTTGGATGTAATTGTATGCAATGCGGTCGGTAATATTCATTAAATTAATTATAATTTAAATGTTAAAAAACTTACTTTATATTTAACTTTTTTGTAAAATTTTTATTGAAAAATGTGTTAAAGTTCAAGTTGTTTTGACAATGCGGCGTTTTAATAAAATCTTTTCGATGCTATAGTAAAATTGTAGTAAATTGTATTCATACTTTTAATCTGCATTTCGGAAGTGCCTCTATCTACATATCATATATTACAGCTAAATTAAAGTAAGAAAGAAAAAAATATTTATATTATTTGTATATGTTTATATATGTATATACATCTGTTATTATGTCTGTTTACATAGATATCCGAATTGAATAATGATCCTAAAGTTCATGGTATAATTGTTCAAATGCCTTTGGATTGTGAAAATAAAATTGATTCGATATTAGTGACTGATGCTGTTTCACCTGAAAAAGACGTTGATGGGTAAGTATGCTGTCAAAACCTTCTAATTCTTTTGTGAATTTTTGGGTACATATATCTATGTACGTATTATGTATACATGTTTATCTGCGTATATATATTTCGATGTTAATATCTATTTTTTTTGTTAGTCTGCATACTGTTAATGAGGGACGTGTAGCTGTTGGTAATTTAAATGGTTTTCTCCCATGCACTCCGAGTGGATGTATAGGTATTACATAGCTTTTACTAAAATAATAAAATATTTAATTTAATTTCTCAATTTTTTGTTGAATTCTATTAAGTTTTGTTTGACATCATGTCTTTAAATCATTTAGCTTGTATAAATTTAAAAAAAAAATTAAGTACTAATATAATACTTTGTTGTTTTATAAAATTATAATATTGTAATATTTTTTGTATACATATAATTTTACTTTTCCTTAGAATTAATAAAAAGTACTGGGATTGAAATTGCTGGTTCGAAAGCAGTTGTGATTGGTAGAAGTAAGATTGTAGGGACACCAGTTGCTGAACTCTTAAAGTAAGTATTTCATTTAAATATATAATTATATCGAAGTTGAATCGATTGAAGTAAGTATTTTATCTAAATACGAATTATATCGAAGTTGTCTCGATTGAATTAATACGGAAAATCTTTTTAATGCGGTGGCGTTATAAATACCAGGGCACTTGTCTATATATAAAAATTTCTAAACAACATATTTTTGAATAAATCATGATAATATTTCTCTTTAAAATATAATTTATTATGCTTTAAAACAGTTATTTATGATTTAAACATTTTTTTGCCTTTTTCACTGTTTAGTGGAGTATTAGAACTGTTGCGTGAAGTCAAAATAGAATTATACTTCAGTTTCTTAAGTCATTGGTTCGACTGGCGGGTGGTGCCTGCCGTAGGTTTTTCTTTTTTTTATCACATACATATATTGAAAGTTATCGAAATATTAGGTTTATCTGGGATAAAACTTGAAAAAATTTTAAAAAGAAAAAACAATGACGTAATTTCTCTCAAAAAGATAAAAAACTTTTATTAAAAAAAGAACCAGACGGAAAATTTGAAAAAATTTTTAAAAACTTTATAAATATGTATGTGATAAACGTCATATTTAATTATTTAAAATCAAATAAATATTTCTGGGTTATGCCAAAAACAGAAAATTTTGATTTTGTATTATAAAAGTGTGAAACTTAGAAAAAACCATTTGAAAATCTTTTTTTTTATTTTGAAAGTTTTGGAAAAAAATTATTGTTGATGAAATTTTTTTTTTAAAATGAAACTTTTTGACATAACCAAGAAAAACATAATATGTTTCGACAGCTGTAAGATTTTAAGTTTTTAAAACAGTAAATTTTACTTTACAAAACTTGAAAAAAACTTTATACATTGAGAAAATGAAAACGTCATCATTTTCTTTCATTTTTGTTCAAAAAGTATTATCCCAAACAAACTTTATAAAGTTTTATTTAATTATTTATTTTTGTTTTAATATTTTAATATTATTCGTATATTGTAACTATTTTAATATTAATGACCAGGATTGGGATTCGGCTAAAGCTGCTAAAATGATTTAATCGCTGTAATTTATTGACCGTCGGTAATTTGATCAAAAATTTAATTAATCGCTAAAAACAAAATGAAAATTTGGTTGTCGGTAAATTTATCGACGTTAAATTGACCACCAAGTAATTAAATGCTACACATTTTCGCGTTTTATGTAAAGATGGAAAATATTCGCGTTTTAAAAATATAAATTCTGTTGTACAAGTATTAGGCGAGAAATAAATAAGCACAACAGACACATACATATACATATTTTTTAAATTAACCTGATATTTTTTAAATTTTATAGTGTGCGCATAACGTACTATTCTTCTATATTAGATTACTTGAAGGATTTACTAGTTGATATATTTACTGATAATCCGTTTACAAGTATGAATGATCATTTTTTTGCTATAATTCTATTTTTTGTAAGAGCATATTAAAACTAAAGCATCCCCTCTTGTTTTTATTTCGCATTATTAGATGTTTTTATATCAGCGTCAATAAAAAAATCAATAATGACACGTGAAAAATCACAGAAATACTTTTTTTAGAATTAATAGAATTGGGAATAAATACCATTGCTTTTAAAAGATACTTCAAATTGCCTAACTAAAATGACGTTGGGTTTGTTTAAATTTTTGGATATTTAAATATAAATCATATTTTAGGTGGGAACATGCTACAGTTACAGTCTGTCACTCAAAAACTCAAAATTTAGAAGAAGAGGTATGATTTCAATTTACATTTAGGCTACTTTATTGATATTACATATATAATATTCATTTTAATATTCACACATATTAAACCGGGTGTTTCGCACGAGGCGACAAATAATTTCAGAGACAATTCTTTGATAAATTTCCAGTAAAAAATTTTGTGGGCGGGTGTATTTGCAGATACCATAGCTAAACAAAAGAGTAGATGTAGATACCATAGCTAGTTAAGCAAAAAGGTACCATATTTTAAATTACGGAACTTATGCTTATAACTACGATATCCTAAGCGACATAGAGTAAACCTCGGGTGCTTGTTTTATACTTAATTGATTGTTCTTTATTTCCGATCTCAAACTCAATTAGATTTGATCCTCTACCAACACATTTTTTTTCTGGAAAGAATCATCGATCAAAGAATCACCCTTGAAATTATTTGTCACCTTATGCGAAACATTCTGTGTAATAATATAATAAGCAATAATAATTTATAAATAAAGTATTAATGATTATGTTTTTAGACTAAAAAAGCAGATATTTTGGTTGTTGCAATAGGTCAGCCAGAAATGGTGAGGGGCAGTTGGCTGAAACCTGGAGTTGTAGTAATTGATTGTGGCATCAATGTTATTGCAGGTAATTCTTTATGTACATAGATATACAATGGAAAACAATTGTGCGTTAGTGTAGACATTAATAATTTTTATATATTAATGAGAAGACATTGATAAAAGGATATACATAAGTACACATTTAAATTAATTTTTTTTTTTAATAGATAATGTCCTATTAATTTGTGTCTTTATATTTTAATCGCCAAACTTCGAAAAATGAATTTACACAAATATGTATCTTTAAAATACATTTATAATTTCTATTTTAATTGTGTCATATTGTTCAATTTCTTAAATTTGTGAGTGCACGTATATATGTACATATATCTAAAGTTAATTAACTTGTATTATCCTTTAAGTGATGTACAATTTTTTTGGTGCTAGAACTTTTCTTTAAATCTTGTGAGATTTGGGGTTTTCATTTTGTAAAGACTTTATTGTATATTGCTACTTACCATCGCTTAGATACGTATAAGTAACATTTATCGGAAACATTTTTCAGAGTAAAAAAGACTAAAGTTTTTGTCAAAATTTATGAAAATATTTTGTAAGTTTCATTTAATTTGTTTTGTTTAATATACATAGATACTTATGTATAAGTGATAATCTTTGTTAGAGGTTAAATTGATAATGATAACAAATGCTATAATATGTATGCGTTATAACATGTAAACATAAGATTATCAATAAGTCAAATATTTGATATGTACATACATATATATACATATGAAATATATGCATATTATTATTAAATACTCACACATATTAATATTAACATATTATTTCTTTTTCTACATTGTTTTTGCATATACCTCACCATACTTGTATAAATTATTCAAGATGACACAAAAACATCTGGAAAACGTTTAGTTGGTGATGTATGTTTTTCGGAAGCACAATCAATCGCATCATTTATAACCCCTGTACCTGGTGGTGTAGGCCCAATGACTGTTGCTATGTTAATGAAAAATACGGTACAATCAGCTTTAAAGGTTGCAAAAGAGCTTCAACAAGATAAATGGACCTTAACACCGTTAAAAATTTGCCCAATAACACCAGTTCCAAGGTAAAATATTAATTTCATCAGGTAAATTTTTACGGCCTAGTATAATTTTTGAAAATCCAGCGACATCAAAATAGCGAATTCTCAAAATCCGAAGGATGCATTTTCTTTGGCAAAAGAAATCGGTCTTGTAGCCAGTGAAATTAATTTATATGGCAACAAGAAGGCAAAAATTTCTTTATCGGCTTACAAAAGACTGAAATTTAGAGAAAATGGAAAATACATTGTTGTTGCAGGGTAGTGATAATTTTTAATTTATATTTTTATTTCAAAAAAGTCGTTTTCAAAATCTTTATATTAAATTTAGGATAACGCCAACTCCTTTAGGTGAAGGTAAAAGTACAACCACTATTGGTCTTTCCCAAGCACTTTGCGCTCACATAGGACGAAATGCTATTGCTTGTTTAAGACAACCGTCATTAGGACCTACTTTTGGCATCAAAGGTTCTCCGCAGTTTTAGTTCATTTTAATTAAACTAAAAATTGTTTTATTCAGGTGGGGCTGCTGGCGGAGGATTTTCTCAAGTTATTCCAATGGAAGATTTTAATTTGCATCTAACAGGAGATATTCACGCAGTTAGTGCAGCGAATAATCTTCTGGCGGCTCAATTGGATACTAGGTAATTAGATTTGCTCTAATTTATTAGCTTGTTTTATTTTACATATTAGGTATTTGATCGAAAATCATATATGTATTTCTTTATCAATTTTTTACATCTGCTTGTGATATACTTATAGAATTTTTCATGAAAATACACAATCAGACAAAGGTTTATACGATCGCTTAGTACCATTAAAGAATGGAAAAAGAGAATTCTCTAAAATTCAAATAAAGCGCTTACAAAAACTAAATATTATAAAATATGATCCAGATACTTTAAATGAAAATGAAATCAAAAAATTTGTTAGGTTGGATATAGATCCAGAAAGCATTATGTGGTCCAGAGGTATATAAAACGAAAATTGTAAAAATCTCCAGATCCTTAATAATATTTTTTCAATGTTATATTTTACTCTAACTATAGTCGTTGATATAAATGATCGCTATCTGCGCGAAATAACTGTTGGGCAGTCTCCTACGGAAAAGAATTATAGCAGAAAAACTCAGTTTACTATATCCGTTGCCAGTGAAGTCATGGCAGTTTTAGCCCTTGCTAGAGATCTTGGTGATATGAAGGAACGTTTAGGTAGAATTGTTGTAGCTTTTAGTAAAGCAGGAGATCCAATTACATCTGATGATCTTGGTGTAACTGGCGCAATGTGTGTTTTACTCAAAGACGCTATTAAACCTAATCTGATGCAAACTTTGGAAGGTACACCAGTGTTAGTGCATGCAGGACCTTTTGCGAATATTGCGCACGGATGTTCATCGATTGTCGCTGATAATATTGCTTTAAAGTTGGTCGGACCAAAGGGTTTCGTTGTCACAGAAGCTGGCTTTGGTTCCGATATTGGTATGGAAAAATTTTTCAACATAAAATGTCGGGCTTCAAAAATGGTTCCAAATGCTGTGGTTTTAGTGTGTACCGTGCGAGCATTAAAAATGCACGGTGGTGGTCCACCGGTTATTGCTGGTACTCCTTTAAAAGCAGTGTATATTCAAGAAAACTTAGAGTTGTTAGAAAAAGGCTTACCAAACTTAGCTCAGCATATACAGAATAGTGTTAAGCATGGAGTTTCAGTCGTTGTAACAATTAATTCACACGAGTGAGTTCATTTTTAACTGTCTTGTTTGCATTTATTCCTATAAACATTTTTTTTGAAAAATTAAATCTTTCATTTTAGAAATGACACGGTGGCAGAACATGATTTAATTAAAAGGGCTGCTCTTAAATTTGGAGCTTTTGCTGCTGTCACTTCAAATAGTTGGAAAAAAGGTGGGAAAGGAGCTGTAGATCTGGCAGAAGCCGTTATTAAAGCTTGTGACGTAAATATTGAAAAATTCCAATATTTGTACGATTTGCACATTCCTTTAAAAGATAAAATAAAAAAAATTGCTACAGAAATGTATGGAGCGGCGGAAATCGAGTTAGCGGAAAAAGCTGAGAGATCAATTACATTTTTAACTGAAAAAGTATTATTATTTTACCTTTATATTATTTTTTACCTCATTTTACGTTTATTACAATAACTTTTTATAGGGATTTGATAATCTTCCAATTTGTATGGCAAAAACTTCATATTCGTTAACCGGAGATCCCACAATAAAAGGTGCACCAAAAGACTTTACACTCAGTGTAAATGATTTGTATTTATCTGCAGGAGCTGGTTTTATAGTTGTGTTGTGTGGCGAGATTTCGCAAATGCCTGGTTTGAGTACTAGACCCTCTTTTTATGATATCGATTTAAATACAGAAACTGAAGAAATAGTCGGACTATTTTAGGTTATAGCGTACAAAAATTTTTCATTTTTAATATATACATATATGGAATTCTGCATTTATATTGTTCTTTTATATTTTTGATGCAAGTTGTTAAAATTTAAATTTATGCTCTATTCTAAATAACTAAAGAGCTTTGTTTCAGTTTTCATACCATTTGCTGAAATTTAAAAATTATTTTAAGACGATTTCTTTTACCAAATCTTTTTTATCTACATTTATGGAAGTTGTTTTGTCATTTATAAAAAATGTGAAATAAACAAGGTATAATGATTTTGCTTGTGTAAAGTAATATTCATATTGTATGTTCTTTATTGAAAATATATCTTAACTTTTTATTTTGTTTTATACATTTTTTTCAAGATATTTTTACAATACATTCTTAATTTTTAAAATTTTAAGTTATTTTTTTTATTATAATTTTGTTAAACTAGTTATTTTTAAAAGGTAATACAAGGGCTCGAAATAATAAAATGGTACATGAAAATTATTTATAGTATTAATTTTTTTTGTATTTTTAAAATGTTATACATTTTGTTTATTGCTTCAAATGTAAAAGCGACCACAATTTTTTACGAATAAAATAAACTCAAATTTTTTACTTTAATGTTTTGAACAAAACAAAATTTATATAGAATGTGAATTAAAAAGAAAAAATCGTTTCATTTAAAATACTATATAAAATATTAATCATTACTTAAAAAAATATATCTCATTTTTTAAATGTATCTTAAATGAAAGGATTCACTAAGTGTTTTTTGTTTTCACCTTATTTTTTTACCGTATTTTTTTTCTTTGGGAAGTGCAGTTTTTGATAAAATTTTTTTTTAATTCAATTTATCTTGTACAAAATTAAAACATATAAACTTTTTTATGCTAGTTATATAAATTTTAAAATGTATTTTAGTTTCGGATATTCCGTTCTCTAGTTATTTTATATTGAACCTAAATTAAAACCTAGTTAGTATTAAATAATATCACTGATGATTGGTAATTTTATTAAAGAACGTATGCTAAATTAAGAAGTTAAATTTTCGAAACCTATTTTATTAATTTTATTGCAAACTATTTTAGCTTCAAATCTACCCTTTTTGTAATATATTGCAAAATATATTGTTCAAATAGTTTTTTTTTTCGTCATAATTACATGTTCTTAACAAATTTGTATACACATTCAATGTAGTGTATACAAACCATATTGTTAAATTAAAAAACTTTTTTATAAATAAGTAAATTGAAATTTTTAAAACTTATGCCGCGATAATATTAAGGAAATTGGTTCCAGATGTTGAGTACTCCATCTAAAGTAGGTTGCTTACTTGTAAGTTATTGTGCAATTATATTTAAAATTTGCAAAAATTGAAAAATTATAATGTATGATTTAAATAAAATGATAATTTATCGAAATGATTTAAAAAAATTTCATTTTAATAAATTGTTTTACAATATTATTTAATAACTTTACAATTTTCTGTAAGTTTAACCTTTTTAAATCATCATTAAATTATGAATTCTATATTTGTCATAAGTAAAGTGTACATATGTATGTATGTACGGACCAAATTTTATATGTTAAAAATTTCATTAAAATTTTCATCTCCCTTCTATTTATTTCGTAGAAAATGTAAAACGGTTGGAGAAACTTTATTTATTTTTTTCATTATTTTATTGCTAATGTTATATAGAAATGTATTCACATGTAGTTTGTACTTACATTGAAATAAATTTTGGAAATTATCAAAAGATATAAAATAACTAAATTATTGAAAAAACAAAAAAAAAAATAACATTGAGATTTCTAAATGATGTCTTTAAAGAAAATTTCACTTGAATTTTTGAAAATATCAAATAATATATTGATATGTGTAGAGATGTATGAATAAAAAAATACAACAAAATCAAAATAAATAAGTTTGAATTTAAATGTGAGATTGATTTTGAGAAAATTCCTTCAATATTTCATACGGTAGCTATGAGTATTATATAAAGTTATTTTAAATATTATATGAAAAAACTTTAATAATTGAGAGTAGAATGCAAAAATTTTAAAATTAAAAACAATATTCTAAATAGCTTTCCGTATTTTCTTATAAACCTTTTAAAATTTATTGGCTTTGAAACGTACATTACTGCTATTTTTTATTATATTTTTCTTATAAAATTGTCTTCTTAATTCTTTATTTATAATTTTAGGTATGGTGGTATAGTAATATATTTTTCTATAAAATATGTGCATTTCTATGTGTGTCTTTTTTGGAAGTACATATGTATTAATTTGTATAATGCGTCATTGATAATGATCATGATGATAATGATTAAAACGAAAGTGAAATTTTATTGACCTTATGTCCTTTTCTTCTTTTGGTTTCAAACTAGTTACTATTTTGGTTTGCTATATATATATATATATATATATATATATATATATATATATATATATATATACTTATATTGATGGTATAATTATCGATTTCGAGCTATAATATTAGTTAACGCTATATATGTTTTAAGTCTTCAATAAAAATATATTTATAATTATTACTGAAGAATAGATGTACGCAATACTTTTTGTACACATGATAAAACTTTCAAAATTAATTGTATTATACATGTACATATGTACATGCATTTACATAAAAAAATATTAAAAAAAGTTGATATTTACAGTAGAGATTACTTACATATGTTTTTATGATAAAAAACTCAAAGTTCAAAAGAAGAGTTTTCTTTCTACTTTTAAATATATTTAGAAACAATTAGTTAAGCATTTTTCTGCCATGATTTTTTTTTTGCGTCGTCAAAGACAATTTTGCAAAATTTAAGAAATAAAAATTAACAATTAGTTTCAGTTTTGAAAATATTGTTGTATTTTAACTAAATGCTTAAAATTGCAGCATGAGTCAAGTTTTTTTTTAAATTAAAATTTGTATTTGGTTTGATAATCTATTAAATATTTTAGATACGAAAATATGATAATTTAATTTTTTAGTTTTTTAAAACTACAGGAATAGTTTTATTGAATTTAATATAAAAAAATTTAATGTTATTTTTGAAATAACATTAGTATTACAATAACGTGTAGTTAATTATAAAATTTTTATAGTTGAATTTATTGCTGATTACCGAAAATTTTATGAGAAAATTCATTTGAGGGTAGAATAAATAGCGGCATAATATTGAATTATGAGAAAAAAATTTATAACACAATGATATAAGATAGAAACCTAATATGACTAAGGCATCAACGTTGTAATATAAGTGTCATTTTAAATTTTGGTTCTAAAAAGTGTATGAGTATGTAGCACTTAATATTTAATTTAGGTCGTTAAAATGCATCTACTTAAATTTAAACTAAAATATATTAGAATATTTGAATTATATTTTAAATGTATGATTTAATTTTTAGAAATCGGTTATTTTGAAAAGCGCCAAAACTATTATGTTGGCAATAAATGTTAGTAGTTCTATAGATCCAATGTTTTAGGTGTTTAAAATTTTTTTTCGTTTAATTTTCGTTTAAATTTAACTTTGTAGATAAATTTAATATTTGTTTTTAGCTTTTACCAATATGAAATTGATTTTTTCTAATGTATGAGTTTTCTCTCTTTATTATAAATTATTTTTGCTCATAAAAGAAAACTTTGTTATTGTTGTTCTACATAATTTATTGATTTTGAATTTTGCAAAATTTTTTAATACTATTAATTTAAAGTTTCTCTTAATTTAATAGCTTCCGGCACTGTTTAGATTTCACATATTTAAAATCAGTCCCAATTTTGATATAATTATTCAGGAATTTCTGTTCAAATGTAAATAGATCCCTATCTACGAGTTTTGTTTGTTTAATAAAAATATTTTTTAATTTTTTTACATACAATTTAAAATATTGGAAATTCTTAGTATTTCGATAGTGTAATATTTAAATTTGTAATTCGGAAATTTTACTTTTTCGAATTCAATATAAGTTTCAATAAAAATATAAAAATTTATGTTAATTTGAAAGCTCACACCTTAAATTTTGAATTTCGTATAAAAATTTAGAAGTTTGGTATTTAAACATAATTTTAGTAAACTAAATTTTTAATTTTGAATATTGTTGATCATATGGATCAAAAACAAGGATGAGTTCTTAGTTCTTGTATAGATTAAAGTTATGAATTTTATTTTTTATATTAATATTTTTAATAATCAATTTTGGCAAACGTATACAGATTTACTTTGAGCAATAAAAGATTTAGAAACTTAAAATTATAAACATTTAATTTCATTCAAAATTTTAACGTTTGATAAGGTTAAGATTAATTTTTGATTTTTAAAACATAATTTATTGTTTTCGTGAATATTTAAAATATTTTTACTTTTCACTTTTCAAGTTAAATGACTAAACCTTGTTAAAAATTGTAAAAATTTTGATATTTTTTTAATTAAATTTTGATTGCTAAAATAATATTATAGAACCATATTTTGCGTTTTATAAATAACAATTGCGAGCGGAAACTATTCAATAAGAAATAGAAATAATTAGATTTGATCTTTTTCTATCTATTTTTTTTAAATTACTATATGTAATTTTCTATATGATTCAAATAAATAAACAATTAATTATTGAAATAATAAGGGCCTATTCATAATCATTGAACTGTAACCAGACGTATGTACGGTTATAAAAACATTTCTTGTTTTTAAAACTTTTTCTGTGTTTCTTTTAGTTATTCTTGTTGATGTGTATATATTTGTATTACGTGTATATTTTACAAATGACGGCAACAACGACGATTTTTGAGGATTAAAATAGAAGAATCTTAAGAGTTTGTTTTTTGTTAATGGTAAATGTTTTTTATAAGTTTTGTGCGTTTGTGTGCAAAACTTTTACATCTTAAGTAGTAAGGATAAAGTACGTCTATAAATTAAAAAATTTATGATAAAACTTTTTTTTGGTTTGTGAGATTATTTAATAATTTAAAGAAATGGTAAAAAGCAAATCAAGACAAAAAATTATTTAACTTAGGGATATAAAAAAAACTGGAGAAGGATTGGTTTGAAACTCCTTACTCCTTTGTATATAGTCTTAACATTATAATGCATACAGATATTTCAATTTTTTATTTTACTATTATAAGCATGTATAGTTATTAACATTTTTATGTTTATTGCTTTTATCTTTATTATTATCTTATTTAGAATAGAAAGAGGGTTGAGAATTCTGTACGTCTTGCCTATTTGTTTCATTTCTGTTTTTTTTGTTCTGTTTTATGAATGAATACTTATGTATATCTTTCAAAGTTGGCTTGCTGCTGGTAAATTGTATACGTATATGATTTGTTGTATGATCTAATGGCGGAAATTTTTTTACCGATACATTTTTTTGATAATTTTTTAAAATTATGAATGTTAAAAAATGAAAAAGGGACAGAAGCATTTAGAATTCGGGTATTAAGAAAATCAATTGATTTGGCGAATTCATACAGCAATTTAATTTCTATCTATCTAGTACTTCATGAATATCTATCTAGTAATCATGAAAATTTATTTATTTTATAAGGTATTTGAAATTAGAAATAACTGTTTAAAAATATTAGATATAGGCATATGTATGTACTTTATTTATCGAAACCTGAACAAATTTTAAATATTGTCGGGTTTTAATAATTTTGTTGCTACTTTTTATAAATAATTTTCTTTCTTTTTTATCGAAACTTAACATTGCAATTAAAATTTGA